GAGAAATTATAAACTATAATGCAAAAAGCATTTGTCTGCGTTCACATACACATATAAACACGATTGAGATCGGATTCTTAATTCATGGATTTAATATGATATTGGCATCTGGAAAGGTTTTCCATACAGTTTAAGAATGTTTATGAGATTTTTTTTAACCATTCTTCCAAAAGCACATTTGTGAGGTCAGACACTGATATTGAGACAGGAAGGGCTGCCTCGCAGTCTCTGCTCTCATTTATCCCAAAGGCGTCTAGCAGGTTGAGGTCAGGACTCTGAAAGCGAGTCTAGTTCTTTCCGCACCAAACTCGCTCATCCATGTTTTTATTGACCTTGCTTTGTGCACTTATGTGCAGTCATGTTGAAACAGGAAGGGGCCATCCCCAAACTGTTCCCACAAAGTTTACAGCATGAAATTGTCCATGCTCTTTACACTGCACAACACAGTCAGTCAACTTCTGTAATTTTAGTCAAATCATTTCCACTTTGTTATAACCACTTAGAGTCGACTGTGGAATATTTAGTAGATGGATGTGTTGCACAGGTTGCATGCTGGAATTCACAGAGTCTAGTGAATAAACATTGTCTCACTTTCCATTTCGCACTTTACAAAAACACCCAGGGCACCAAAATCATTAAAATCTTTAATGATCTTTATTCTTTTTTTCATTGACTTTCTCTGTTTCCCTGTTTCTTTGCATCAGCAGTGACAGTTAGAGACTTTCAGCTGGAGATCTGCAAAGAAAACACACGGGTGTGTGTCACCACCCCTGCAGACTGTGACCCTCGCCCACCCTCGTCCACACAGAGTGAGCACACATGTTTGCTTGTTCTTGGTTTTTATCATCTGGTTTAAAAAAAAACATGAAGTAAAGCTGCTTGTTTCTAAAAGGACCTCAGCAGAAGGATTAAGGATCTATGAGAAATCTGATCTGTTTAAACATGACTGAGAAGGTTATTTTTTATGTAAATAGAAGCTAAAAAAATATATCTGGTTATATGTTTCCAGATGTTTGTTTTTGTTTTGTCTCAGTGACTGGTTTGAAGTTTTCATTTAATCATGTTAATTTTGTAAAACATTACATGTAGGCCGAGTAGAAGAACGTGTTCAGTTAACCCGCTCTGATGTGTAGACATTTCGTTCACATGACCCAAAACTAAAGTCTTCAGCTTTTTGGAGTGACTTGTTATTTAAACTTCTTTTCCTGCAGGTACTCTGAACATGTTGTGTTACTACCAAAAGTCTCCAGGCAGACAAAGATCCATGACATGTGAGTGGAGTCTAGACTCAAACAGCGACACTGAGACTACCGCCTCCCTGATTTTCAGCAGGTATAAAACTTGATGATTTTGTTACGAAAATAATTACAAAGTGATCTTGTGGAATCTTCTCAGATGTTTTATCTTTTCTATTTAGGGACCACGAAATTATATCCTGTCGGGGCATCTTCAACTCAGCATCCGTTGTCAATGTGACAGCAAGGATTAAAAACCACATGACAGAGATCTGGTCTGAGCCTCGCAGTATCTTTCTTTTTGAAGCAGGTTAGACACCCACACGTTTTGTGACTGTCACCTGTAATCCACCTGGCTTCTATCTTCCTCTGCTGTCCGCTCATATAAAATGATGATGAAGTAATTTGCTCCTTGTCTCCTCCTCTCAGTCAAGCCCCCTACACCTGTATTAACTGTGCTCGGCTCTACTGAGGACTCACTTGTCGTGTCTTGGACAAGCAGCGGTGATGGCAGATGTCAGCTTCGTTACAGACTCGACAGCGAGGACATATGGACCCAGGTTAGCATCATGCCAACACTCTGTAGGTTTTTTCTTTAGGTATCTGCACTCCAAGAAAAGAAGTCCAAAAAGAACTGCACATTGTTTTAGTTTCCACCATAAAGTATGAGGCAAAAAGACCCGAAAACATTTAAATAATATGTAAATTTTTTACAATATTTCATATTCCTGCTTCCTGCTGAAGTGAGACGCAAACAAAACGAACAACAAAAGAAACTGTTTACTGACATTTGCTAAGTGAAAAGTTTAAAAAAGGTGTGTTTAAGGTAGCTTAGTTCAGCCAAAAATTAAGGATACTGAAAGTGTATCACAAACAGTAATAACTGAGTAATTCAAGGACTATTGTTTATGTGCTGCAGCTTTTGCTGATCCCTATATATAAATACTGGAATGTGTAGACATAAGCATCAATCTTCAACATCTTCACTTTTTGTAGCTCATTACCTTAAGCCAGTGTTTCTGACACTGTGAGAGGTGGAACTGCTGCAGGTGGAGAACGTGGACAAAAGTATCCAATGAAAATAAGCAGACTTTAAGTTTCTTTTTGGGGAAATGAAACAAGAGTTTGTGGAAGATTTTTGCACTGAGCTTAAAATTCAAGTCTTTTGCTGTCGATAATGATTTGTGAAATATCTGTGTTCTTAGATGTGAACTTCTTTTGTTTTTGTTTAGTTTCATCTGGAACAGGGAAAATGTAAAAACGACCAAAAAGGGAATCACAATATGAACATGTAGGTCATCCATGTCATAGTAATCTAAGGAGAAGCTTCTCGGATGAGACATGAAACATTAAAGAAGTCCAGTCGCTTTTCTTTCCAAGCTCCTTAAATCACAAATGTATTTTAATTGTTTAATAAAGTTTTAATAGAGGCGACATTTTTATCCCAAAATAAAAATGCCTGAAACCTGAGCTTTTGACTTACAGTGATTCTTGTACATGCACTAACCTCATTATTTGAACCTTTGGCCATCCAGCACTGTGACAGAGTAGACAGGATAGAAGAGCATAGTAAGTCCACTTGCAGTCAGCTTTGTCCCATAGGTTTGGTTGTCTGCTTTTGTGTCCAGGTTCCAGATTTATCTGCAAACCTGATGTTGAATTACACCATCAAAGGCCTCCTGCCGTTTACAGTCTACAGAGCTGCTGTGGCCTGCAGGGAACAGATCTTCTGGAGTAACTGGAGCTCTGAAATCAGAGGAAGAACACTGGACAGAGGTAACAGGCATGCACATCAGGGACAGCACACCACGAGCTACAACACTGACATATATAAAATAAATTAATACATTTTTTAAAGAAGCTCAATTTTTTTTATTTTAGTTCCTTCCAGGCCACCAGAGGTGTTTTACAGACTGGAGAAAAAAGGTGGATCTCTGGAAGTTCATCTCATTATGTTGAAGGTATAGTGTCTCACTTACCTATAGGGATGGGTATCGTTTAGGTTTTATCCGATACC